CTCCTCCGGGGCAGGAGGCAGGCGGGAATCGAACTCATGCGGAAGTGGCTTCAGATTCTTAGTGCTGTGCTTTAACCCGCTGCACCACCAGGGAGGGCCTATTTGTATATTCTTTTTAAAGACAAATGGAATAACAATACTCGGTTTGCCACTTGTTTTTCTCACTTAGCAACTCGATCACACCCATTTATATATCCACTTTTTGAATAGTGCTTAATGTCTCATAGAACAATTATACAGTGATACATTGGACTATGGTGGAAAATTATTTCCAGCTTATTGGTTTTGTTGTATGTACTTGGTTATTCAGAAAGCTTTAGTGAGCATCCCTGTAAATGCACCTTTATGAACGCGTGCAAGTACCTGTGAATGGATAGCTGCAAGTGGAATGGCTCTTCCTTCCTGTGTCCTCGCCCAGGGCTTCTGGATTGGGGCGACAGTCTCCTGCTGGGACTGCTCCTTTACACAACTCTATTTTGCCCTCTTCATTCAGACCTGCTCCTCTGTACTCTCAGACCTATTTATTGCCTTGAGAATAACTTTTTTTTTTTTAACTAAGTGAAGTTTTCCCTTCCATCATGGCTCTTGTTCCTTCCTCCACTCAGCCTTCTACCTGCTCTAAATTAGGGGTTGATCTAGCTCGCCTCAAACAGAAAGTCTTCTGTAGGGGAGCTGCAGTCACGGTCTAAAGCTGTGTTCCTGGAGTTTCTGAGCAACAACTGAGCCAAGTAGGAGCAAGATCTGGAGTCATCTTGCTTCTTTGAAGGGAGTGTGTGTGTGTGTGTGTGTGTGTGTGTGTGTGTGGTGGTGGTGGTGGGTTCTAGCAAGTGAATGGGAATTTGATCAAGAGTTGAATGTTCTTCTTGTTTACTCTTTACTACTTGCAGAATACTATGACATGCCAATAGCATTCAGTGCTCAACTGCAATTCTGAAATGCCTTCATAAAGTAGCAGGAAACTGCAAGCTGATTCAAATTTAATTTTGGCTGCTAACTTTTAAACCTTTAGAATAAGAATTCCTAACAAGCTCATGTACACTCATCATGAGCCTGGCCTTTTAGTGTGCTGGATTTGTGGCTGTGGGACTGGGTTTTATCCATCTTTGTAAATGATGCATTATCCAAGCATACAGATGATGCTATTGAACTGTGATGTAGTGGGTAGCTGCCATTTTTCTGTGGCTGACCAGCCTGCAGCCCTCCTAACTATTTGGGATGTTCTCACTCTGTGCGTCTTAAGGCTCACACAGTGTCTCTCACTCTATGGGAGTATAATGGTGAAAAAGACTTGATCTCCCAATTTCTGGCAGCCAGGGCTGGGGGGTGTGACTCACTTTGAGCAATTAGACGCTCTGTTTGGAACTTTGAATCTTGAGCAGGCAGTGTAAAGACAAGGGTCAAATGAAACGTCATTTTTGGTGCAAAAGAGTCAGGGAGTGTAGAAGAGTGGTGTGGAGTCGGTGGCGATTGAACCAGTGGTGGTGTCCCACTTAATCTACGGTTCCAGGTTTATTCTCCAATAAATTTCCCTTCACCTCTAGTGAGAGTTTGTTTGCAGTCTTTAGAACCAAGAACCCTGACTGATATGCATGAAAATAAACAAAAATACCGATGTCCTCCTGGGTCATTTCCCCTTCCAGATATGGAATGACTGCCCTGTCATTTGAAGCTTTCAGACTTGTTAGCTAAGCATAGAACTTAGCTAAGGGGAGCAAAGTGTAGAGGCTTTGATAATAGGTACAGTGGGCCTGTTCTTGATTATGTGTGGGGATGATACCAGAGACACCTTGGATAAATAAAACCAGCAGATCATTGACACTTCATATTGATGCTTTCAGTTTCTTCCCCATTGAAATCTTTTCCAGTGTTGCCAGAGAAAGGGAAAAATTTGTCAAGTCTCATATTTTATGTACATGCTACCTATATCCTACTGGAAATGTTCATGAAATTGTCTCAACAGTGAATGGAGAAAAATAACAGGGCTAAAAGCCCTTGTTAATCTGCTTTGCAGATTGGAATCAACTCAGTGCATTAGATTATTATTTATGGAATATGTCGCATTGTAACTGGAAGGAAACTCAGAGTCAATCCTTTAGTTTTTGTTGAGTCTATTATATGACAGGCACACTGTCAGACACTGAGAACTCAATGATTGATGCAAGAATTTCTGTTATTAGGGGGCTCTTGGTCATGTAGGGGAGACAGAGATGTAGACATTGGAAGACTGTCTTCATTTCACAAATGAACACTCTCCTCAGAGCTGAAAGCAGAAGGGAGGCCTCTTGACTTTGTTTTCTGAAACATTTACTAGGTAAACTGGAGTGGGAATCGGCATAGGCAGAGCTTGACACAGTTTATGTACAAAAAACTACAACACATGCATACTTCAGAACAAAGATGAACTACATCTCAGGCCTCTAGAACTTGATCTTTGGTCCAGAAATGGTGATAGACTTTAACCATTATGATAATTTGGAATTTCTTGAGGTGATGAGATTAAACTTTGAAAGGCAAAATGTGATTACCCATCTACATTCTGTAATTGACCGGCCCCATCTGTTGTTAATAGCAACAAGATCATGGTATCCTGCGGGTGTGTTGGGGTTGAGGATGGGGTGCATGAGACCATACCCTGCTTCAGCACTTTTCCTAGTGGCCTCCCCAGGCTGTCCACTTACCGGTGAGGTTGCTCACACGGATTTAACTAAAGTTATGACTTTGTCTCATTCTTGACCATGGTTCTGCTAAAATTTCAGCAGTGATTTCAGGACAAAGACTCCTTGTTTCTGTTCTGTTGGGTGCATTTTTTCTTTTAAGATTTATTTATTCGTAC